TCTGTTCCTCCGAGCTACCCGTGTCCTGCCATTTGTTAAGTATTCTTGTTGTTTCAGTGCATCGCCTTGCATTTATCAGGATTAAATACTGTCTGCCCTTCCGACCATCTGTATGCTCATGAAACCTTCTTCACTTTTATCCACTCGACAACTTTTCACTGTACTCCTGTTCCTTTGTAACTTGAACGCATGTGACAACGAACCTAATTCAAATTCTCTCCTAATTCTAATTTTACCAATCTTGGCACCCGCTGCAAATTTGCTGAACATCTCATCGTCTTCTATTTTTGATTGGATTTGAATACTGTCACGTGTACCGAACTGCTGTGTGCTTTGAAGGCAGATTATACAAGTGCTTCTGGGTAGCCGAGACTGAGACCACTCCCTGATTCCAGACTAGCCCCGCCCTTCCCACATCTGCCCCGTCTCAGCACTTCCGGACATTAATTCAGCTGTGGGTTAAATATGAACTGAGTGCAACATTGTGACAGCGTCTTTAGGTAACAGACAAATCATCCTACAATTCCAAAGGGTTTTGCTCATTTCCCGAAGCGATGCCTCGGGATTTGAGAACTGTACTTCCTTACGTCAGGTTGCCCGGATTCATCGAAAGCCGATCCACTTCCCGGTCGAATTCGGTTCGGATGTCGTCCAGGCAGCCGTTTTCGCCAAAGGCGCCCCATTCTGTGTTAATGCACATCCTCCCTTCCTCGCCTTCGACCACCTCCACATTCTTCATCTCTTCCATGTAGCATGCGTTGCAACCTGTCCCTGCAGAACGGGGTCGAAAAAAAAACCACAACTCAAGGCAAAGCAACGTGCTTTGGAACACAGGATGCTTCGGGTCGCCGTCGACCAGATACTGAAATGCAAAGGCTGTTTAATACAGCGGGAGGTCGGAGCCTGGGAATCCTGCAGCGAGTAACTCACCCTCCCGAAGCCTGTCCCACCACCGACAAGGCACAAGTCAGGAGTGTGACGGAATACTCCCCACTCACCCTGGATAGGGGGCAGCTCCAACAACACTCAGGAAACTTGGCATCTTCTACGATAAAATTTGATTGGGCTCACATCCATAACCACCACTCCCTCCACCAACGATGCTCAGTAGCAGCAGTGTGTACTGTCTACAAACTGCACTGGAGCCACTCACCAAAGTCAGGACATTTGAAATTCTGAAGCAAGTAAGGAACAGATCCGAGATACGTTGGCCAGTCCAAACCCAAATTTAAGCTAGAATTGCATTTAAAAAAGGGGAGATGAGTCTGAGGTGACTGTGAATCTGTGATGTTGCCGTGTTGTTGAAGTGCACCCACATTCAAATCGGGGAGAGAGGTAGGGGCCATGAGGGTGGAAAGTTGGAACTGAGGGCCAGTGTGATGCCAAATACAAATGTCTCAATCACATCGAACAGCTTGTTCTTTCGCTGCTCATAACTGGCAGGGGACTGGCGATACTGAAGAGACCAGGCTGGCAAATCTCAGATCACAGCACCCATCAGTACACCTGAACTTGCAATTGGACGGCACTTACTGAACAATGCCAAGTGCGCCAAGCATGACACTGGCAAATTACTCAACTTGACCAGTTGGGCACCCAATGCAGCTCACTTGTGCTTGCTGTAAGCTGCGTATATTTTTAGGCAATTCTCTGCCAACGAGAGGCATGCCACTTCCATAGGAGCACTGGCATGATTGCCCATGCGTGCATTATTCAGGGCGGTGCCACGGCCAATCTAAGTCAAGCATTTGCCTTCTTCACCGTCTGCTGCACTTGCAATGCTGACTTTCAGCTACTGGTGTATGAAGGACAGCCAGGTCTCCCTGCACCTCCCCTTTTCCCCAAGCGATCACCGTTCCGATTATAACCCACATTTCTTGCTTCAAGCAGGTATACAAAGTTGCAGCTCCACCTGGCAGCCTGGTTACAAGTTGCCTGCCCCCAAATCGACCGGTTGCTGCCATGTCTACTTCTTGATTTCTAATGCGCTTTACTGTTTGAAACGCCAAAACCTGCTGAACCACCAAATCTCTGGTTAATGATTGATTGTGACTCTGTGATTAAAGCAAAGGGTACTTTCTGATGCATTCTCTCCGCATCTGCGTAATGGTTTAATAGAGCAGTAGACCCTTTGGCCCAACCAGTCCATGCCAATCATAATCCCAAACTAGACTAGTCGCACCTGTCTGCTCCTGGCCCATATCCATCCAAACGTTTCCAATTCATACACTTATATAAAAGTATTTTAAAAGTTGTAACTGTACCCGCACCCACCACTTCCTCTTTGTGTAAAACAGTTTATCCCTCGTGTCTTTTTTTAAATCTTTCTATCTCAACTCGAAATCCCCCACCCTAGGGAGCAGAAACCTGCCATGCAACTTACCTGTGCCCCTCATGATTTGATAAACCCCTGTAGGGTCACCACTCAACCTCCTATGCTCCAGCGAAAAAGGTCACTGCTTATTCAGCCTCTCTGTATAACTCAAACCCTCCACACCCAGCAACATCCTGGTAAATCTTCCAACTTAATAACGTCCTTCCTATCGCAGGGGAACCCAGAACGAGACATGGAACTCCAGACGATGTCCTGTACAACCTCAACGTTGAAGGCCCAAAAGTGTTTGAGCCGAGGGAACATGAAAGCAAAAGTGTTCGATAGCAAAGGGTCCCTGCAGCCTTGAGGCAGGGTTCCAAGGCAGAGATGCCTTGTCACACGAGTGCTCACCCACAATGAGGCCGACCTCGCAGAAAGGGTCATCATATCCGCAAGACATCATGGTTCCAACAGTGTCGTTGACAATCGCCACCGCATCCACGTCAAATTCCTGCAAAAGTACGGGAGAGGGAGAACGGATTAGCAAGACCACCCCTGCTAAATGTCACTCCCAATCCCCGAGAACGGTGGGTCAGGGAATTAACGGGGACAGCAGCGAATGCTTCCTTCAGGAATCGATTGGAAAAAGATTGGAGAGGTGCAACGAGACCTGGGTGTCCCCTCCTACACCAATCGCTGAGAGTCACCCTCGCAGGAGCAGTGGTGGAGGGGGTGGGTGGGATGAGGAAGGCCAGTGGGATGTTGGCCCCTTCATGGCGAGAGGATTGGAGTACAGGAGCAGGGATGTCTCACTGCAATTGGACAGGGAGAGACCGTCCCCTGGAGTATTGTGTGTGGGAGGTTTGGGGTCTCCTTATCTGAGGGGAGTGGGTTCTGGCGATGGACGGTGTCCAGTGACTGATTCCTGGCATGGCACGGACTGACGGATGAAGGGAAACTGGATCGGGTTAGGATTATATTCACTGGAGTTTAGAAGAATGAGGGGAGGGAATCTCATAAAAACCGATCACATTCCACCAGGGACTAGACAGGGTGAACACAGGAAGGATGTTCCTGATGACGGGGGGCGGGAGAAGGGGTGTTTGGCAGTGGGGGGAGTCCAGAACCAAGGGGTCACAGTCTAAGGATACGGGGTAGGACAGAGCTGAGGAGAAATGTCTTCACCCAGAGAGTGGGGGGGACCGCGTGGGATTCGCTGTCACAGAAAGCGGTTGGGAGCAAAACATTTGAGTGTTTTCAAGAAGGAGGTAACTGTAGCTCTTGGGGCAAAAGGGAGAAAGCGGAGAACAAGGGACAGAGTTAGATGAAAAACCCACGATCAGATTGAATGGCAGGGCAGGTCAGGAAGGGCTGGCTCCATGCTTGTCTGTAAGGAAGCAAACAGAGATCGGGAAAGTCATTACAACAGTGAAAGGGAAATTTATCTGGACACGGTTCGTGGGGGAGTGGATGAACACAGTATTGAACATGACTGGTATCCAACTCATTGAAGGAGAGTCACTGGAGAACTTCCATTCAGTTCAGAGCATTGCAAACCAGGCCACAGTTTAAAATGTCAGCTCTCTCTCAGCTTGCTGCCGTCAGAGCAGGTGCAACGTAGACATCCCAGGAATTTCCTGGGAAGCAAACAGGTAAAATTGTCAGGACAACTGCGTGGAGTCCCTGGCTGAGGACTGCAGCTGGTTTTGGGAGGTTGGACAGAAAGAGAGAAGGTGTGACATTGGTGGAGAGAGAGAATGGGAAAGAGAGAGAGAAATAAGACAAGGATAAGAGGGAGGGAAGGGATGAGAAAGGGAGGGAGAGGGATAGAAGGACGGTAAGAGAGAGGAATGAAGAGAGGGAGGAGGAGAGAGAGTGAAAGGGAGGATTGGGAGAGATGGAGACATGGAACAAGGGTGTGTGAGAGAGAGAGAGAGAAGGTGAGAGAAATGGAGGGAGAGAAAGGGGTGAGAGAAACAGGGATGGAGATACAGAACAATGAAAAGAGAGCAAGAGATGGGGAATGGAGAGAGAGGGACAGGCAAGAATGTGTGAAAGAGAGGCGGGGAGAGAAATGGGGAGAAACTGAGATGGAGAGAGTGACGGGGAAGGGAGAGACAGAAAAGGGTGCAGAGAGAGGGAGTGAGAGAGGTAGAGAGGGATGGATGGAGAGGCAGGGAGTAAGAGAGAGTGTGAGAGGGGGGAGCGAGGGAGAGGAGAAGCAAAACACAGAGGAATGGGAGAAAATAAGAGAGAAAGAGACAAAAGGAGGAAGGGAAAGAGGGAGAACGAGAGAAAGAAAGAAACAGAAAGCAAAAGAAAGAAAGAGATAAAAACTGAAGGAATAATTCAATTCAGAGGTGGGAACAGGAAGGGCTTTAAGGGTAAAGGGGCAGGAGGAGCTGCTGAATGGCATCTTGGCACAGCCGAGCATTACTGGATCTGGATGGTGGGAATAGACTGGGGGCAGGGTGGCACGTTCCTGAACAGCCTCCGCCCATTCCAACTCACTGTAATGTGGAGCGAATCTGTGGCAGGGGGCACCGGTGAGCACGTACCTCTCTCCTCTTGATGGCTTCTCGGAGGAGATCGACAATGTCTTTGCCCTCGCAACCTGTCGCTTTGAATCCTTTCGCCCACTTCAAAAGGATGGCCTGGGGAAGGAGGGGGAAGAGATTTATGGTCGCATGGCCGGAAATCCAGGGGTATTGTGGGGTGTGGCACTACCTGGCATGACACGCTCGCCCTCTTCAGCCCACCTTGCCATCTGGATCCGCCCCTCAATGAAGGAGAAGAGATTTGCATACCCCAACGTATCAGGCTGAGGGAGGGTGGTGAGTCAGGAATAAGACCCTCGCCAAAGGTGCCCAGCATGGCCGACACAACCCATGGCCGTTCACGGCCAGGGCAACACACACCGGAAATGCAAACCCTTTTCCAACCCCTTGCCTCCAAGCGGTCCCATCTCCCCTCAGAGGCCTGCCGATTTCTGAGCTCCAGTGAGGCAGAGGGTGACCAAAGAAGTTCTGCAAAGGGAGTTGAGGGGGTTGTGTAGCTGCACGGAGGCCTTTCCACACTTCAATCCCATGCCAGCACCCCGCGAAGGAAGAGGAAGCTTTCACAGCGATCGGCTGGCGCCCAAAATTGAACTTCTCCTACGAAGATTGGATGGCGCGGCCTGCGACTTCAGGCAAACAACGAGTCACCGAGCTGGGTAGGCCTCGGGCCTAGAGGACAAGTCTCGAGCGGGTGGCAGAACTGACCTGATCGAGGCCCCGCTGCTCGCAAGGAAAGGAAAAGGTGAAGCCCAGTGGCAGAACGCATTGCTTTCTCCCCATGTCATCCAGGAAATCCGAGATGCAGTGGATGATGTGATCAAACAGCTGCCAAAAGAAGAGAGGGTTGGGGGGAAACATAAGGACAAAATCTTGGCACGTATAGCAAATCAAATCGTCCGACGGACCACCGGAAGGTCGACTCCATTGATTGGAGTGGCCATGAAGAGTTTGCCTGAAGAACCACAGCCAACCCCAGTTCCGCGCTAACACCAATACCATTTGGTTTCGCAATGGCGACCAACGGACCAACAATGCACAGGATCTGGGAATGACTTTCATCTTGTATTTCCTTCATGCAATGGGGCTTTGCTGGGCAGGTCCCAGCATTTATCGCCCCCGTTCACCCCAACTGCACCCTTGAGAAGGTATTTTCAACCACCGCAGTCCCCGTGCTATGTAGGGACCCTGGCCCAATCCAAACGTCCCCCCCCCCGTAACCCCCGACCCCCGCCACACACACACAAACGCACACGGTGTGCTTTTAGAGATTCTCGGATTTTGACCCAGAGACACTGAAGGAACGGCCGATATATTTCCAAGACGGGGATGGCAAGGGGCTCGGAGAGGAGCCAACAAGGGAGGGGTGGAGTTCGTATGGATCTCCACTCCCAGTTTCTGACTTGTTCCCGGTGTCATTGTGTCCAAACGACTGTGTTGCAGAATGAGAGAGGGTTCATATTAGCTTGGAAATACAGTCCTGGTCACCACACTGTCGGAAGGATGGGATTGTACTGAAGGGGATGCAAAGGAGTTTGATTAGGATGTTGCCTGGAATACAACGGTTTAGCAATGAAGAGAGACTTGAGAAGCTCAGGTTGTTTTCTTTGGAGCAGAGAAGGTAGAGGGGGAAACCTGACAGAAGTGTGTACGGTTCTGATGGGCATGGACAAGGTTGGAGAGAAAGCGGCTGTTTCTCTTAGTCAAAGAGTCAATAATGAAGGGACGCCATTTTAAGGTGAAAGGCCAGAGGGGAATTTGAGGAAAATAATTTTATCCAGAAAGAGATGTGGAATACACTGCCTGGGAGGGTAGTTGAGGCTGGAAAATTCACAACCTTTAAAAAGGACTTGGATGAGCACTTGATGTGTCATAACATTTAAGGCTGTGGGCCTAGTGCGGGAAAGTCAGACCAGTGTAGATTTAGTGTGTTTTTTGGTGGTACAGCCTCAATGGGCCAAAGGATCTCGTTCATACTGTATGATTCGATGATCCTACGTCAGGGCTGTACTCTCACCACACCTCTGGAATTCAGCTCTTTTGTCCATGTTTGAACCAAGGCTGTAATGAGGTCAGGAGCTGAGTGGCCCTGGCGGAACCCAAACTGGGCGTCACTGAGCAGGTTATTGCTGAGCAGGTGCTGTTTGATAGCACTTTTACTGACACCTTCCATCACTTTATTGATGGTCGAGAGTAGACTAATGGGGCAGTAATTGGCCGGGTTAGATTTGTCCTGATTTTT